CCACGCCCACACACACGCACGCACGCGATACCTCAGGCTGCCGTCACTCGGAGCACACGACACATCCACCGGCACAACCACCGCATCCGCATCACCAGATACATCTCCAGCACTCCCAGCAGCAGCACGAGAGCGCAAGGACCAACACGGACAAGCAGCACGAGAGTGTAAGGACCAACATGGCGCCGCACCGTCACCATCGCAGTCATCGTCACCTGTAGTGGAGTCGCTGGAGTCAGTCAGCTGATCGGTGAGACAGAAGGAAAAGAATGGAACAAGAGGGAGAGAGACGGAGTGCAGCGGACGCAGCGAGAGAGAGAGCAGACAACATGAGGAGAGGGCAGCAGGCCCAGCCGCACAGTTCACACACCACGAGACGGCATCCACGCAATGAAGGCAAAGAGCGCCAGCAGCCACCCACCATGCAGTGGGAGAAGATATCCGCCAACATCTCCCACAGCTCATTCTACAGCCCCAGGGAAATGGCAAAAGCCCCGCGGCCACCACACAACGCACACGGAGCGAGCACCCACCACACCAGCCACACGCGGAAGCGGATTCCCAGCCATCCATGACGCGGCACCAAAATTTCCAGCCATCCCGCCCTCAATGGGACACGGAGCCCAACTCAACGCAGTCACACGCGGTGCACCACACCCGCGGGAAAAGAGACTCGGGCTGCGCGCTCCCTCCTCCTCTCTGCTCTTCACGCCCACGGAGGAAGCAGCCGCCACACGCAACTGCCAGCATGCATTACAAAATGCGCATTCAAACCCAACGCAATGTGCATCTTGTGTGTGTGTGTTTGTGTGCCTGCAGAAAAGCAAAGAAAAAAGCAGAAAAAAGGGAGCAGAGCATGTGAACACGTTGCTGGGGACAAAACAGACGAGGTGAATGAGCGCAACGCAAATGGACAAAATACCCTCGCTTCAGAAAATGACGTTGCAAGCACTGGCCTGGTTGTTAAGGATAGTGCGGACGTATTGAGTGAGCGCAGTGCCTCTGGACACGAAAACCTCATCACAAAAAGTCACTACTCAGTATCCGAGAGCGGCGGGAGTCCAGAAGACCGCCTCGCCCTGCTCAATGACGCGAAATTGATCCTTGGTGATTTACGTGGTTACAGCATTGCGCGTGTGTGCGTGTCTCGGCTGTTGATACTTCTGGGACTGTGTGGAGTTGTGGCAGTACTGTGAGCCAAAGAGTGTGGAATTGCGACACCACACGGGGAATATGTGCTGCCTTTCTTGCGGTTTTTTTATTTTAAATTTTTAAAAATTTTTTTGCTGTTGCTTCTGGTATTTTGTTTGAATAACCAGTATCTCTTTTTCGTTTTTATGGTCGGTTGCTGCACACTGTTATGAGCGACGTGTTTCTCCTTCTTTTTTTGTTTTTTTCTTGTTGCACACACGCGGTGCCGGCTCCGCTGCTGTGCGCCCCACGGACTGCACAAAAGGAGGATTGGAAGAAAAGGCCGGATGCCGCATAAAATGTGAGGGATGTTGTGTGGGCTGGTGGAGTAATACGATTTTTTTTCTTTTTTTCATTACATTTTTTACTTGTGCAGGTAATATTCATACGCACGTGATCGTCTTGTGCTGCATGGCACACGAAATGGAAGTCCTGCCGATTCATTTTAGTTTCTTTTTTTTCTTTTTTAAAAAATCCCTGCGGACTTCTTTTCTTCCGTTCCGTGTCCACTGTCACTTTGTGCCTCCGTGTGTCGTTGAGTGCCCTTCTGCTGGCTGTGTTTCCAAACTGCCCTCATACCTTTTTCTTCTTTTCTGCTAGAGGCACCGATGGTTTGCGACGACGATTGTTTGTGCTACCCATTGCGATGGCACGAGGGTGACTGGGCATCCTGCCCCGGCATGCTGAGTGCACTCAGAGGGGAGCGGATGGTGTGCGCCGTGCCGCATTTGTGAGTGTGGGACGCCACCCGCCAAAACCTGCTGTGAGGTGCGCTGCCAATTTGTCAGAGCGGAGAGAAGTAAAGGGCTGCGCCGTGGTATTGGACGCGCCTCGTTCGTTTCTTTGCGGCCGCGTGTGTGCTGTGTGCGCATGGCTCTATCTTGCGGTGCGACGTGGATGGCGTTGCTTCTGCGTGTGCCCTCGTGCATGCGCTGTGCGGCGGACTTCGTTCCCCATGACGCCGTCCTTGTGTGTGGAAGAGTGGAGGGAGCGGGGGGACGTGAGGAACTGAGTGTGGGTGACAGCCGACTCCTCCACGCAAATCGACGTCTTCCACAGAGGCGGCGCCTCGCTTAGCGTCCCCTCATGGGACCCAGACCGTGGACTGAGAGGGTGAGAGGGTTTGCTGAAGGAGGAAAACGAGATGCACTTGATGACGGCCAACCTGATCGGCTTGTGGTTACAGCGCGTGGGGCGCGTGCGCCGGTACGCGTTTGGCGTTGCGCTCACTATTGGGGAGGGGGGGCGGCACGACATTGTGGCGCTGTGTGTGTTGCGCGGCTGGGGCATGCTGGCGATTGTATAGGACACGGAGCCGTTTGACTGGTAGGAGCTGGTGGACTTTGCGGCGCAACGGGAGCGTATGGCAGCGGCGTGTGCTGGAGGGGCGCGTGTTGAAGTGATCGTGGCGTGCCTGTGGGTGCCTGAGGAGAGAGAATAACAGTAATAGTAACTGTGGGATTGTGAGGAACAGGGCAATGGCAAGGAGCATTCTTTTTTTTTTTTTTTTTTTTTTATTGTTGTTGAACTGCGCCCACCCAATTGTTTTTGTTGCTGTGGTGCGTGACTCTCATTGCTGGACGGGACGGTTCGTGGTTGTGGGAATTGTCTCTCCTTTTGCCTTCACTCTGCGTTGACGTGTTGTTAGTTTGTGCTGAAGGCTGCACGCAAGTGACAGGAGTGATGGTGATGATGTCTGGCCATTTGCTGCTGGTGGGCGCCATATGCGTGCTGTGGTGCGGTTTATCTGGAGTTGCTGCCGATGATGCTGGTGATGTTGGTTCTCTTGAGGAAAATGGTACTGGCAAGGACGAAAATGAGTTGAAAGGAATATCTTCTCCAGGTTTGAGTGTACCAAAGGGAAAAGAGAAACCAGCAGCAGCAGCATTGGGAGGAGGAGGAGCCCCAGATTCACAGGGAGGGAAGGATACTTCTATGTCAGAAGAGGGTGAAAATATCCTACAAGAACATGGAGTGAATTTATATGTCGATCTACCCAAAACAAATGAGGATGAAAATGAAAATAAAGGCTTGACGGATGCTGGACTTGACACGAGGAATCAAGCAGCACCACCAACACCTCTTCCGGGCACATCAGGAGAATCGCCAGAGCCTCCACTATTACCAGCAGTGAAGGGACCACCGGCATCCCCAGGGGTTTCTTCACAAGAACCACCTACCCAAGCATCAACGAAGCTAACAGTACCTGTACAGCCAGCAGAGCTCAACACTGCGGGCTCGGTGACACCGGTGCAGTCACAGGGAGGACCAGAGACAATGCAGCCAACTCAAGAACCTCCAAAAGTATCCAGTATACCCGACACAGGTACCCAAAAGGATTCACTAACTGAGGATCGGGCGGAAAAAACGTTATCCCCAGCAGGTACTAATGATACTACCGACGATCACAGTGAGGAGGAAATTGTGGAGGAAAGCCCCGGTGATGCTGCAGAATCAGGTGTCGTACTGACAGAAGGAAACGAAAGTGAAACACCGGGCAGCGGTTCGAAGGAAACAAAAACATCACACACTAAATTTGAGGAAAGTAACGCAGTAACGCCTGGCAACGGTGAGAGCAGTCCCACGGCTCCTCCCGCCGGAGAGTCAGACGCTGCCACAACCACAACCCCGAACAATCATGATGCGCGTAGCCTCAACAACAATGGCGACAATACCTTCACAGAAGAATTGGACCAGAAGGCAGCAACAACGAAACCCAAAAGCGCACCAGAAAGCACTGACACTGCAGCAGCCAACAGTGAAGCATCCACAACTGCCATAACCATCTCCACTAACACAAAAAACAAAACAACCACCGGCGACAGCGACAGCAGCACCGCGGTCTCCCACACCACCTCCCCTTTTTTGCTTCTTCTTTTTGTTGCGTGTGCGGCTGCTGCTGCGGTGGTGGCCGCGTGAGAGTGAGTGAGAGAGAGCCATGCACCGCCCGCACACACACTCGTCTTTCACTCACTCTCTGTGTGTGTCCCCTTGCATGGACTCTCGCCCTCACCTCATCCCACGAAGCACACACATAATGTGCCCATTGTATGTATTGCATGCACACCCATGCAGGCCCGTTGGTGCTCTCTTTTGCACGACACGCACCGCTGCCGTCCTGCCTGGCTGCATGGGCGGAGCACCGTAACTGTTTCTGTTTTGTTTTTATTGCATTGAGTGGGCGACCTCTCTCTCTCTCTCTCCCTGTGTGTGTGTTTTGCTTTACGGGAGCAATGAGAGTGTGTGCGCTGGTCGTCCCACGTTTCGGCCTTTTGTTTTCTTTTACTGTTTTGCTTGTGTTGTGGGTGCATGCATCTATGGAACTTTTATTGACTAGTGGCTGACTTTGAATGTGGACGCCTGAATGCTTTTTGTTTTTGCATTCTTATACGTTTTCTTGTTAGGAGAGTGTCAGCCTCTTGTATTCTTGTCAAGCCACCATGTTTTTTCTTCCACATACACCATGCGTCAGTTGATCCAAGTTACTCTGCGGCGCCGCTTTTGGTGCTGTTTGTGTTCATGATTTCTGCAATGTGTTTTTTCGGAGCATGTCTTGCTGTCAGCCCGACGTATTCTTTGTTCCTTGACGATTTGTTGCGTACCGACGGTGCATTGGCGTCTCTGGTGCTGGTGAGGGACGCGCGTCTCAGAGCTCACGATGCGTCGCGGGTTTGCGGCATCGTTTGTAAGGACCGATGGGTGCCCGTCCACATGAAGGTCTCATCAACGGGCTTGGAGGACAGCATAAGGCACTGCGGCTTCTTTTGGTTTTGCGCAAAGAATTTATTGGATGGTGCGTTTGTTTTCAAACCTTTGCAGCTTTTGTGGGGGAAGGTGGGAGGTTGAGGGCATCAGGACTGAATTCATTTGAGTGGCTGCGTTTCGTTGACTTGCGGCCAGTCGTGGCACTCTTTTGGGGTTTGGCGGCTCGTCTCTTTTGTTTACTTCCCACCGCAGCACGTGGATTACACTGATCCGAGGAACATTTGTTGGACCGCGTGTGGGCTGCTGCCGTGCGTGGTGCATGGACTATGTGATTGTGTGGGGAGGTGCATTGGGGTGACGAATACTTCTGTTTGGCGTGTCGCGGTGTGTCGGAATGATGTTCGGATGACATGTGGAGGGTGTTTTTTGTGATTTGTGTGTCTTCTCTGGTGGAGCCGACATGTGTGCGGGGATTGTGGCATTGCTGGCTGACAGCTCCACGTCACTTTTCAGCATTCCTGAATGTGCTGAGGGATGACGGCTGGCGACCAGCGTGTTGGTGCTGCTGGTGGGAATAAGTGCATCGGGAATAGGCCATTTTCTCTTTTCCGTGCTGGAGCCGATGAACTGGCACGAGGGCACCGGCTGCAGGCTGCCTGCCAGCACGTGTGAGCAGCGGATCCATGCACACACCGACGCTCATCGCAAGAGCGTGTGCGATCACAGTGGCCTTTTGTGGCGTGCTTTTGTGGACGTCAGTCCATCGGAGAATGTGTGAACCAAACGGCTGACTGCACACGAGGAAAATAAGTGCGTGCACTGTGCTGTGTTTTGGCGTCGATGGCAGAGCGGCAGGAAGCACGTGCTGGCAACCGAGATCTTTGCGTCGCGAGGGATGTCGGTGTTGACTTTGGATCGTCGAGGGTGAAATGATTTTGCTGCTGCCCGTGTGTGTGGCCACTCCGGCGGAGGGCGGACACAAAAGGGAGGGATGCAGGTGCTGCGTGTGTGTGTGTGCAGGTGCCATGCAACAACGTCACAACAAACATGCTGCGACTCGGTGACCCTCACATCGTTGTGGTCCTCACGAACAGCCCAGGCACGACCCACACCGATGCACTCAGTGGACGGAGTGAGGCATCTTTTGAGGCGCTGCAGGGAACAGGATGTGTTGACGCAGCCACGACGTGCATGGAGTGTCACGATTGCACAGTCAGCTGTGGCTGGTGGAATATTTACTTCTCGGAGGCAACGGAGAGAGAGAGCTACTCCTGCTGCTGGCGTCGTTGCTGCCTTTTGTGGCCTCCCATGCCGATTATTGTCTGTCCGCTGATCATGGGTGGCATGCCTCCAATAGTGACGTCGTCTGCAGGCATTTCACAGCACCAGTGAAACACACATCACGTCGCATGCTTTGGCTGTGGATGTGGTGTCGTGCATGCAGCTGGCATTATATTGCCCGACTCCTTTTCACTGCTTTGCGACGAATAGATGCGTCGCCGCCCGAGTCATTCACTGCGGCTCCGTGTGTTGTACCGCCAGCAGAAGACTCTCTTGTTGTGTGGCGCCTGGCTGACAGTCAAACACCACTGCGTTGGGACATGCAGGGATGTGGACTGCCGCTCACGGTGTTGGGCACCGCTGTTTGGATGCGGCGGCCACACGAGCGGATGTATTGTGGCACAATCAAATGCGTGAAATACGCGGAGTCACAGCGGCTGCAGTAATATCAGCGGTGTGGCACCACGGAATATGTGAGGGGGTGATGCATGAGGAATCACAGTGGGCGGCATGCGAGGGAAGTGTACCGCGACGGAGCGTCATCCCGCCCTCAGCCTGCAGGGGAATGTACACCCACAAAATATATGGACGAGGCACCACCAAACACACATGCCCTTCCATGCACCAATAAATAGGAGCGAAGGTGCGTTCTGGTGTGTGGGAGTCCACTCACATATTTTCATTTCCACCACAATAAACGGTGAGGAATCAGGTGTCACAGCAACGGAAGGAAAAACAAACATCTATTGCAACACTTTACCAGCGAAAGGCAGGAACAACACAAACCGAATTATTGGCTGCACCAACACAAGAAACATTCACAAGAGGAAAAAACAACAATAATTGTGCACCCTGCAGGAATCCCCAACACACGACCCAGGCATGAAGGTTTGCCCTCCGCAAAACAAAACAACATATGCAGACATCTGCCAAGACTGAAACAGAAGCACAAATAAATGGTTGCTTGCTTTATGCCATTCCTTGCGCTTATTTTTGCGTGTGCGGCTGCTGTGATGGCTGTGGCCGGGCCTGCATGAAGTGGTGTGCGCTGAATATGAAGGAAGGCCTAAGAAAGATGAATTGTTTTTGTGATGAATATTGGCTGCACTTCCCGTGGACCAACAATCCACGTGGTGTGCGGGGATCTCTCTTTTTATTGTTACTTTGTTTTTGTGTTGCTGTGCGCTGCACCTCCTCTTGTGTGTGTGCGTACCCTCCGTGAGGGGTGCGGACACGACGGACCGCTCTCGCCGTGTGTGCATGCGGTGGAGCCTTGTGTGCCGCTCCTGTTTGCTTCTCCCTCTTCCATCTGTGTGTTGGTGTTGCGGCAGGGCTGTGTGTGTGTGTGCCTGCTGCCGTGGATTGGAGTGTATGTCGTGCGTGGTGTGCGGCATACGGTGCATGCCTGGCTGCTGCCCTCTCCTCATGTGGTGTGCCCTCTCTGTGTGTGTCTGCTGCACCTCTCGTCTCCCCTGTTGCTCACCATTTCCCTCACTGTGCAGATAAGCTCCACACCACTGAACGACCACACTCACGATGATGATGACTTGCCGTCTGCTGTGCGCCCTGTTGGTGCTCGCCCTGTGCTGCTGCCCGTCCGTGTGCGTGAGAACGGATGACGCGGAAGGAGAAGATGACTCCAGTGATCCGTCTCTACCGCCAAAGGAGCAAAGTCGGGAGACTGAACCTTTAAATTCAAATACCCTTCCAGCACCGCAACCGGTTATTGCCAGCGCGACAGCTCAACCAGTTAAGGCCGTTACGGTAGAGGGATCATTTGTGTTGTCCGCTACGCAAGATGAAACAGGTGCGCCTGATCATTCAGAGTCAGCCGATGGAGACACCAATAAGGTACAAACGGAAGGTAAGGAAAGTACGACAGGGACACCAAGTAGCACGACTATCTCCGTAGACGAAATAGTTAAGAAAGCCGAAGATGCTGCCGCGACGACTACAAATACTACAAAGGCACCAATTACGACAACCACTACTACTACGACGACCGCTGCGCCAGAAGCAAGAAGTACTACGGCCATGAATACGGAGACGCCAACCACGACTACCACCCGCGCACCGTCAGGTCTGCGCGAAATCGACGGCAGCCTTGGCAGCTCTGCGTGGGTGTGTGCCCCGCTGCTGCTTGCCGTATCCGCGCTGGCGTACACCACTGTGGGCTGAAGAGGTGTGTGTGGGCTGTGCGTGCCAGCACTCAACCGCGAGGACATGTGAGCGTTCACTGTGGTCCGATGTATAAAGTAAGAGTAATTATAATGATCGTGTTTTGCTTCATTTGCTTTTGCTTCGCTGCTGTGCGCTCCGCGTTGCTGCTCCCTGTATCCGTCACTTGGCACGTATCCCGGACCCACGCATATGCTCGACACTCATACGACCGTTTACGTGGACGCATTCCAGACACACTCATACGCATGCGCACTGGAGCCGCTTAGTTAAAGTTTTTTGTTTTTTGTGTTTTTACTGTTTTACTTTATTGCCGCTTTTTTACATTTGTTTTACTTTTACTTTTTTTGTGTGTTTTCCTTGTTGTTAAGTTTTTGCAGGGCGTTTTGCTTTTTTTGCCTTTCATTGGTTCAATATTTTTCGTGAAATGTGTGCTGCTGCTGGTGGTGTTTTTTACTGTGCCGGGTCTTTTGTTGCCTTCACTCTGCGTTGACAGGGAGCTAGTTTGTGCTGAAGGCTGCACGCAAGTGACAGGAGTGATGGCGATGATGACTGGTCATTTGCTGCTGGTGGGCGCCATATGCGTGCTGTGGTGCGGTGCGGTTTTTGGACACGCGATGGACGACTACTGCAGTGAGGGTGGAGGGAACGGGTTGAGGCACACGAGTAATAGTGGAAATGAAGGCGTGTCTATAAAGGCGGACTGCGGGTTGCTATCCGCTCGAGTGGGATTAATAAATGCGGTTGAAGCTGGGGAAAAAGATGGTGAAGGATTGAGTGGTGGTACAGGCCCACTGGGAAAGACGAAGGAAACATTGCAGGATAATAAATTGGAAAATAAGACATTGGGCAAAGAGGCGACTGGTTCAGGAGGAGGAGGTGTCGCAGTTCAACCACCAGCAGCACTACCGCTGGGCTCTGGAGGATCAGATACAGAAGAACAGAGGCAGTCAGAAGAGTTGGATACAAAAGGAAAAGAGGCAGGAGGTAAGGGGGATGAAAAGGGCGGTAAGGCAACTGAGTCCCAACAAAAAAGAGCTGATCAACCTTCTTCATCTGGCAGCGACGGCCCTCAGGGTGACAAAGAACCCAATTTGAAAGAAAAATCCGAGAGTACTGAATCCTCCGTTGACACGCCGACACAAGAAGATGAAGTTGAAACGGAAGAAACAAATGTGTCAGAAGAAGAAACCGGAGTAGACGAAGAAAACAACAATAATGTGGCACTCACAGTGACAAGTGAAAGTCAAGTGAAACTGAAAGAAATACAACTACCAACACCACCAACACTACCAACAACGCAAGTGAATGAACGGTCCCGCACTGAGGATTCAGGACACGTGCAACAGCCAAAAGGCGTCCAAAGCGACATTGAATCAAACCACAATTCACAAACTGAGGGCGCTGCCCCCATCACAGCCAATCAACACAATGAGCCATCTGCCGACCATGCAGGATCAAGGCCACCATCACCCACGGCAAACGGTGATGCCGCCAATAATGAGGCTGACAAGAGCACTGAAGTCAGCACCCCGAACAATGATCCAGCAGCTGATGGTACAGGGACACGAGAAGAAAAACAAAATGAAAATAGGGAAGCCAATCCGAAGGAATCAGTTCCAGCCACAAACGCCACAACGGCGGCGACTGGCGACAGTGACAGCAGCACCGCGGTTTCCCACACCACCTCCCCTCTTTTGCTTCTTCTTTTTGTTGCGTGTGCGGCTGCTGCTTCTGCTGTGGTGGCCGCGTGAGAGTGAGTGAGAGAGCGCCATGCACCGCCCGCACATACACTCGTCTTTCACTCACTCTCTGTGTGTGTCCCCTTGCATGGACTCTCGCCCTCACCTCATCCCACGAAGCACACACATAATGTGCCCATTGTATGTATTGCATGCACACCCATGCAGGCCCGTTGGTGCTCTCTTTTGCACGACACGCACCGCTGCCGTCTTGCCTGGCTGCATGGGCGGAGCACCGTAACTGTTTCTGTTTTGTTTTTATTGCATTGAGTGGGCAACCTCTCTCTCTCTCCCTGTGTGTGTGTTTTGCTTTACGGGAGCAATGAGAGTGTGTGCGCTGGTAGTCCCACGCTTCGGCTTTTTGTTTTGTTTTTCATTGTTTTGTGGTTGAGAGCACCCATTCCGCGGGCTGCGTGTGTGTGTTTGTGTGTGATGATATGAGTAATTTGTGCGTGTGTTCTATCTGCCTCTCTCTGCCGTTGCTTTCTTCTGACTCTCTTGTGGCGCACAGCTGCTCTGCAATTATAGGCGCTGCCAAACACACAAGCACATGCACGCACACACACTCTGTGTCGGACACGCTGTGGAGGGGTGTGATCGTTGAGGACGCACGGAAGCACAGAATTCTGTCTGCGGCTGCCCTTGCGAGAAGGGAGGACGGGAGACCGCGATGTGTCTTTTCGACGTGTTGCGGGCGTGAATTTGGCGGCATGCAGGCAGGTGGGTGGTGTGGGCGTTGAGGGTGCCTGGGACGAGTGCGGATTGCTTCCCTTTCAGCAGCTGCAGTGCCGAAGCTTGCAT